TATTTTTACTACTATAGTATGAAATAAGTGGGTTGTTTTTTCTGTCGAAGCAAAGACCACATAAAGTACATAAGTCACGTTTTGAAACAAAAAGGAACACTTGAAAATATTATGCACTAACTAAACGTTAAATGTTCGATTTTTGTGTGGATATCCCTCAAAATTAAAACTTTTCGATATCCTCCTTATGTAAAGTTTATTTATTGAAATGAATTAAACAAACTACATTCACTGTTTATCATATTCACTATAAATCTGACGTTAAAAAAATTGTATATTTCCATATCAATGTTGATCTGAATTAATTGAATTTTGAACAAGATAGAAAGCCTGTTATCTTCGAATAAAATAAATGCTGAACAGCCAATCTGTACTTAATATATGCATCACTACAATGTGATTCGGTTACCTGAATGTTTGTTGACTGTTCAGTTGCGATGGTATAGCTCACTACTTTCAACCACTGAGTTCTAGTTTGATCACCAGAACCCCTTAATTCAGGCAGTTGTTCTACCTTCGTTAAATTAGTTGCATAGCTCATCATTTAGTACACTAGCCTCTACGTGATTACCGCACAGTCGCATTACCAAATGTCCATCTTATTTATGTGTAATCCGAACTTACTCAGAAGTTTGTGCATAACATATAATTTGGGAGGTTATTAAACTTTGGTCAATAATAATGAACATCATATTTGGTAAGTTTCTGAAATGTCGATTGGATGACTTATTCAGTGTACAGTAAACCGAAGAACCATGTACCTATTTATATTCGATAATTTTGTTGTTTGATTATATTTTCCTTGAAAAAGCTTGGACCAGATTGCCAGGCGAAACGTTGGATTTACTTAAAATTCATTCGCTGAGATTTTACAAATATATTCTTCTTTTCAATGTGTATTACATGTCCTATTGTTATTATTATTGCAAATTACTTCTATTTATTTGATCCCTTTATCTCTTTGAACATGTGCTTGCCTGTATTATTACGTCTAAATAATTATTTTTCTTAAAGATGGTCGAATACACATTTGGCATGTCGGTAGTGGTAGTCATCCTATACATTCATCGCCTGGTACGGGAAACAGAGATCCAATTACATGCGTTCATTGGAATCCTGTATTGCCTACAATGATTGCTTCAGTAAATGATGCTGGTGAATTATGCATTTGGGGACCACAACGTAAGTGATCCGTTTTTCATTTCGCCTTTTGCCATCTATATGGTAATAATTAAGAATTATGGCATAAGTATATTGCACGGTCAAACCAATCAAATTCATGATAACTACTATCAGATTTCAGTGCTAAATTCGACATCGAATGATGAACAGCTTGTAAATTGTTTAGGACTATGTAAAAGCTCAGCGAAATTTACCGATATTTCTTTACTGAAAAGACTAATACTCATCACAAAACTGATAACTAATAATGAATCTTAGAGTACCAATGAGAAACTTATTAGTTTTCCACGAAAACCGTAGAAAGCAAATAGACCTAAAATACATAACACATTGATGGCAGGATTTTTCAAAACAGACTAAAAGTTTTTGAAATTGTGCTATACTTTTTATGGACGAGCCAATCAGATTTAAGGTAGTACCTCGTATATATTGGCGCGAAACTCATTCATTTGGCTATGAACGACTCTTACATTATAATTGATGTCACTTGGTGATGAAAACCCTAACTCCGGCATCTGTTATAAGTTAACTGGAACAAACTCCTTTCATGTATTGCTTATTATTTTTTACGGGCTTGGTCAGATATCAGAGTCATCTATTTTTCAGCTGTGCAATAATTACAATACGTTTCCCTGGTTTAGGTTTGTTTTTGACCCACTAATTAATGTTAAACATTTGTATCTAGTCAGTTTCATTTTCGGAAACTTATAATCTATCGTGAAAATGAAAAGCGTCAAGGTTAGTACATTACCCTCATATGTTGTTTGCGAAAGTAAAAAGCGGTCAAATATGGAATTCATTTGTTATGTGGTCTGAGAAAATAAATTTCATGAGAGTGAAACAAATCTTAAATCTTAGCACATGGAAATGAATGACTGTTGAGCAATCTTGATGTATATATGTATGTATTCCTATTAATCATTTGCTTATTTTCTTGAATTTACTCACGACCAGTTTTTTGTACATTTTTTACAGGTTATGCATTAGGTAACGGTCAACCGATGGATTCGTCAACTTAAGTCTTCCACATTTACATACCTATTAAACACAAATCCATACTTGATTTTTTTTGGTCTTTTAACATTTGCTCTTCCCCTTTTTCAGTTAATATTTACCGTCCACAACTGTTTTGTTATTGGAAAACAAGCTCCTCTGGAATCAAGCGTCACTCACAATTATTATTTCTCCACATAAGTAAACAGCTCCCATAATTTATTGTTTTACATATATCACTACTATTATTAGCAGTATCACTAATAATAGTAGTGTTTACATTGCCTATTTTGAACTGTTTGTGGAAACTCTACGGATGTGTGTGTTGTAATAACTAAACGTCAATATTCTACATGAACTTGAAAACTGTATGGTATTCTGAAACGACCAATTTTTCCTACTATAATAATATCATAAATTTTGTGTCCGTGTTTATCTGATTGAATTCTACTGTACAAGTGTGCTCAAACCCTATTTTTTAGACGCAGTGATTTCGGCTGTTTTATTTCTTTTGTTGTTGTTGTTGTTGTCGGTTATTACTAATTTATACTTTTTTTTTAGTTAAACCAATAATTTGTTTCCTTTAGAGACACTTTCTCACTATTCACCATCTTCTCAATATATGTACCTATATTTTCTTTGTTCTACTTCTTAATAAGCGAAGTTTTGTTTAGAAAGAAAAAAGTTAAAATCGCACCACATTTCTCTAAGACTTTAATGCACACGATGTTATCCTGTTTGCATCATGCATCAGAAATACGTGTTTTCACTAGTTCTATAGTTTCATTATTTTCCCTTGTAATACTCTACTTATTCAATATTTAAGCCAATTCCTTCTTTGAATTAGACTATTGTAATGATGACACATATATTTTTCCATAGGTAAGAAATCTTTCTTTTAGGTTTGTTCTTTATATGTAATTTCAGTGTTGGTGTTTAGGATTGCAAATGTAGTGAAACACTTGGATTGTTTGTTAGTCCTACAATGAATTAAATAATTCCTTTTCTGTTAGTATATGTGTTGTTTATTTTTATTCAATCTCTTAACGGACACTATTTCCTCCTTTTCTTTAAGCTAAAATTATAACTTTTTAAAAAAATATATGAGAAAAAGTCATTAGAAATAGGTTAAAAGTCATGCTTCAGTAAACTTTGTTAACTGGTAGGAGGACTTATATTTCAAAAGAGGCAAAGTTGTGGTACACACATAAACAATTATTATGACCATCCGAATATATGACTGTATTCGATAAGACAATAACTTTTTTGTATTCTTCTTTTCTTGAGGAAATATTTGATGTGATTATTTTGCCAATATAATATATTCTATAGTGAATCAATTATTTATTAGTATCACTAAAACTATTATTATCATTCTAACTTTTATTTATATCACACTAGTTTATATAAGGTGCATATTTTTTCCGTCTTGTGCATTGAAATATATATATACATATAACTATCAGTTTCATTTGTTTGTTCTTTTTCGTGGTTCCAAATACTTTGTTTTCCGTATTCTTTTATTCTAAATAACTTGGATTATACTATAATCACTACTGTGTTTTTTTTAATATTCTATATATAAATATATGCAAATACAAAATATTGTTTATTTCAATTTGTTACGTATGCCTGAACACCGATTACCACGACGTGCGATGCTAACCGGTGTTGGAGATGGTTAGAAGAAAGTTAGGGGCGACCAAACCAAAACGTGGCATCAGTGCTTGAAGTCACTAACTTCTAGTCTGAGCCATGTTGTGAGATGCAGACTACTTGGTTGGGGTCCGCGTGACAATCGTACCCAATGGTTGGAGACTGTTGGTGACATGGCTCAGAATCGATCAAAATGGCGTCGGTGTATACACTCTCTGTGTTCCCTTAACCTAAGAGATTAGAATCGCTTCATATCTTTCTTTCTACGAACTAATTCCTTCTTCCTGTACTGTATCCTTATTCTTTTATATATTACCACCTCTGAATTAACTACTTTTATGAATTTGGTGTCCATCTTGTGCTAGTGAGTTATGGCAACTTGGATCGATACATATATGTGCCTGGTCCTACGTTGTAGCTGACTGACTGACTTTAAAAATTGTAAGTTTTTACTCCTATAGCATCAAATATTATAATATCAAGTTTAGTTTAGCTTGAATAGTTCTGGTTAGCGTTTTTTAGCGAGTTAGTTTTCTACGGGATGGGGTCGCTAACCCATGCCCAACCCTCCTCCTTTATCCGGGCTTGGGACCGGCAGTAGCCCCCGGAGGGACTCTAGGCGGAGTAAATAAGTTAGTTTAACTACTCACTTATCTAAGGGTTGTTGTTGTTCCGTAATTTCATCAAAACACATCATCAGATTAGATGAATCGATAATGGTGTTGGATTCAAATTTATGTTCGTTATCGGGTTTCATAGTACAATTGGTGCTTACCATTAGTGAAGGTCATTTAATTCAATTCACGGTTTCCGTATTATTATTATTATCGCTGAAAATCATTATCTTTAAATTTCAATAAATAACAAAATGTCTCTAATATGATAGCATAATTCGTATTGAAAATTGTATATCCATCTACATATATAGTCGTTAGTTCACTCTGTCAGTTATTAAGACAGTACATATAAAAAGTGTGAGGTATAGATATTATATAATTAATTTGATTATCATAACTCTTAAGATGAACAACCGTCTAATAAAACTTCATTAATCATTTGGAGATGTGTAAATAAAAGTATTGTAACATAATGAAACCAGTTATTTGACAAATCAAATGGGAATATGTGAAAATCAATTACAACAAAAGTATCTTTCGAGAAATTAAGTGTTATGAATGAAGAAAAAAAATACATAGAATATTTATGTGGTAAGTGTATGTTGAAAATAATTCAAGATGATGTTTCATAGTTTTGACTTCTGTATTCAATAACAAGACGCTTAGCTTCGTCGCATACTTTTTTACCTTTTGCTTCCAATATATCTAAGCACTTTGACAATGCATCCAGTTGAGCATTCAGTTCATCATACTCTATTCAAATGATAAATCCATAAATAATGATTTTAAAAAAGATACAGTAAACATATTTCAATCGCATATATACGGAATGTTCTACGACGGATTACTGATATACAACCTAATGGCTTTTTAGGAATTTATGATAGCTTAGAAGCGTTTGCTTTTTACCATGGGTGAGACTAGTCATATCACTTGTGTTTAATAACATTAAGACACAATGTGTTAAAAAATTTTCTTTGAAGACCTCATGTATGTTCTAACCACTGACAGAGGTTATTGACACAATGGTCGATTAAAATTACGAGAGCCAAAAGTTACCAAGTTTTTCAGACGAAGACACTACACCAGAATTCTGTAGGTGTGGCAAAAACTATTAACTGAAATAGCCTAAGGTTAGTGTTAAAGATTTATAAAATCCAAGTACGCCCAAAATCTTGTGAATTTTATTACTGTAGGCATACATAACATTGGTCACTACTCGGTTGTCAACCAACCTTAAATACGTCTCAGTCCTACGACAGGCTATTTCCGGCTGACATAGCTCAATGGTAATATCTCTGACTAAAGTTAAGTGAAATGGGATCGAATCCGCCAGAGAGCATTAGTTCCCTCAAGATTACAGGCACATTTTGTGACTGAATAGCAAATGGCGCGAAACCTAGGTCCAACGTTTCCTGTTGACTATCTCCGACCACTACTTTACATCTCAACATAGTATACGAAATGTCGAGTCACTCAGACTAGTGCCCACATAGCAACTTGAATGACAATTCTATCAGCACTAAGAAGGACTGACATACATGGCATTGGACACTACATGGTGACTAATCAGTTGTAAAACCTCATATGTACATTTTTCATCCATTCTATCATTTTATACGTTCAGTATAACGGTTTGGGATTTTACGTAATCTTAGTTATTTTTGAGTTGAGAACATGAATGTCCACCATATTATTACTTAATTGGAGGTAAATACGAAATAAACTTATAATCCCACCGAGGAAACCATAAATTACGGCTTAGATCAGAATCGAAACACGACGATATATCAAAATAGAGAGGAAAAAAGTATTTGAAATACAGCAAATGGGATACCTTCTTCAAAATCAAACTGTGGTTGTGGGTTACCGTCGTATGGTGACGGGACAGTCATTTTCAATATAGGACGCTGTTGTGTTAGTATCTATACACCAATCTTGTTAAATGAACACCAATAGCCATTTTTACCACATTCTACACAGGGTATCAGAAAGCTTCTTTCAGTTAATTGCTGCAGTGACAAAAGATAAAACGGTTCTCGGTTAATGTACAATGAAAATAGTAATATTTATCATATCATTCACAAAATAACCAGCCACAACATATTGTGATCAAGTTTTAAGTAGCTACTATTAATATTCGACTACTTCATGGAAAGACATAAGGGGAACCAGATGTATTGACTTAGAACCCCATACATCAAGCCATCCCACACTGAAACAACAAAAAGGAGAATCAAGAAGGCAAAAAGCGTTAATAACAACAAGGTTTGGAGAAGTAAAACTAATTCCATTTGAACAAAGATTGGTAGTGGCTAGCAGTGGGATACGGGACGTGCGTTTCTTCCTATTTGGGACTCGTCAGCTGGATGTATCTGCATCTTAGAGTTGACGTTCACTCTAAGACCCGAACCCAGTGCTGTTCGCTTCAAACGCCATCGTGTTGTCCACCTAGCTACTGAGTCCTGATAGCCCCCTGCCTGTATGAACGGTACTGGATTCCGGTAACGTATAAAAGATTTGACACTTATAAAGGGAACACACAGCGATCGATGCTCTAGCATCTATCTACTATTCGTAATCTTATACAATATGACGTATTTTCCTTTCAATAAATTTCTTTAAACATGTACCATTTTCAATGTTGTCGGTTGCAGTTGCCGTGTGGTTTGTTATGGAAATAAAGGCGAACACATCAGACACTTAGGATTAAGCAACAAGTCTGTTAAAGATTTAATCGAAAGTAGGTAATTCGACCTGAATTTACGAGAAAAGTTGACAGTTGGGCGACATTTGTAACAAAGCGACAAAAAGAGGGAGAACCCGCATCATTTCCCTCTGACAGGCGAAAAAGCAGACATCCTTGTGTGTTTTCCCATTATTTTCCCCTTGTTCGCCTTTATTTCCCCTTTATTTGTTGCTTGGGTTGGATGTGTTTTATGCAAAAACCTAAGATCCTCAGTTATGAATCCGAACTCTCCCGTAAGTCACAGTTTTGCTGGGGTTTCGTATTCGCAAATTTAACACAACACCACAAACTACTTCGATTATTCCGCCAGCTATCAATGTCGTAACTCAAATGCTGAAATGTGCGCTTCTGTTAGTCTTCAGTAGTAAGGGGAGGAAGTCTATAAATCTATATTCATTCTTACAACTTGTAACGTTGTAGAAATCCAACCTTGTTTTGAGTGTGTTAACAGAATATGCTGATATCACGCGTTCTGGTAGAGAATTGTAGTTATCCACTTCTCGGTGTGAGGAATGGAACTCGAGTCGTAAACGATCAGATCTAGGTTTCCGGACATTCTTAGAATTTCATCTCAAACAGTAAATTTTACATGGGAAGAAACAAAACACCAGTAACAAGGCCATTGTTCAGTATACGATAAGCCAATATTAGATCACCCCGTAACCTAATGTGTCACAGTCTTTCTTCATAGGATAGGTCAGAAAAACCTTACCATTTTGATCCATCGTCGTTGGACTCTTTCTAGCATGTCTGCCTCATTAACGAAGCAAGAAGTTGGTGCTTGAATCTCATATTCCAAATTCGGGCTCACAAAAGTCCTGTATAGTACTCTAGACATCTCTTCGTCCAAGTACTGAAAAGACCTACGAATAGTCCGTAATACCCTAAATATTTTGGCAGAAGCAGCTGAGCAGGAGCTCGCAGTTTTTAGGCTTCTGCTTATTATAACCTCTAGATCTTTACGATCCATAATTTTGGGTAACACAAATCCAAGTATTTTGTAGTTATATGAATCATCATAGTTAGATGCATCAGTATATTTTTGTTAGAATTCGCCTCCAGTGACCACCTTCCCATCCACAGGGCCAGCGAATTTAGATACTCTCGTGGTAGTATGTTATCGGATCGTATTTTATCGTGTATGGGTCTCCAAATCCTTATGTCATTGTCGAAGATAAGAATGGATGAGTTTGCTACAGTTGGTAGATCATTTACATATAGTAAAAAAGATGCCGAGGATTGTACCTTGATGAACTCCAATTTTCACGGATTACCACCTTGACAGAACATCATTTTCCGTTACCTGCTGTTTTCTAAATTATTAAGCACTGACTGGAGTTAAACATGTGGACCACTGAATGCTGTCTATGTTTAGAGCTTAAGCGTTCGAGCATGAAATCGAAGGTTTGGGGTTCGATTCTTGATTGGATTATGATTTTCACACTGAACAAATCCAGACAAGACCTTTGGATAAAACGTTAGAATTATTTACGTTCCAATATCTGAGATCATGTTATATGTAGCTTTTACACTTACTATATTCATATGATAATACGATAATAATTTTATATTTGATAAATTACTGACATAAAGATTATGGTGACTGAGAGGTTTGAAAACAGCGGCTTAGCGTCCCATTTGTTGGGTGGTATAGGTGTGATTTTCATATAGTTCTAAACGTCCAGTTGTTATGGGGGCACTGAAGACATTTGGCTGACTAAAAGCTTTGAAGGATGACACAGGTATTCAGTGTTTGACAACGCTTTTACCAGCAACACCTAATATAATTTGTACCCACCGAAAGAAATCAAAAGACAGAGTCGAGGAGGTCGGAAGAGTGTATTTGGTGATAACCAATATATCGGAATTCTCTTATCTAATCTGGCTAACGATTGCAGTAGCAGTTGAGCACGGTGTAACCACACGTGATCTGGTGCGGATACCTGACCGAGCGCCTTCAGCTAGATGAGTCCACTAAAACATATGGTCAGCATGCAATGTCGAAAAATTACAGGGCTATTTATTTTGGGGATTTATTTACCGCTACAGCTTCATATTGAATATTATTAATTTCATTGTTTTTGGCTGGATCTGTATTATTCAACTTCTGAACTTGTTTGTTTATATCCTTATTTTTGAACATTTTGGTTACTCTTTGTCCTTAGTTTGGTATTTGGGAGTTTTTACTCCGAGAACCTACAAAATTGGAGAATGACGTTTGGGCCGAGTATTTTTAAATTACGAATAAACTTTGGTACCTAAATTGGGGATTGGTTCTGTTGTTAATTTGGGTTCGTAAATTGCAGATAGATCGACACACCGTACTTCAATAACGCAAGCGAACAAAAACTTGAACGTAACACAGTTTTTGCGACCAATAACATAAATATCTAAAAATAGTTTAATATTAAAGAACTTAGAACAAGCAAACCGATTTTAAATAGAAAAGCTTTTAACCGTCCATTTCAACTGAGCATAATAAAACAATAGATAAAAATGGATTGCCATGATGTAAATTAAATTGGATTACATGCTATAGCGCTAAAAACTTCGCACAACGAAAATGCAATGTACAAACGCATTTACGAGTATTAAAAAAATTGGTTTTGTCATTTTGACACAACAACACAAATGGGACAAAACAAAAAGCCATTCAGTATACTACGCGCAGTAATCGTTTAAGTGTTCTTGAGACCTTACTCTTCTTACGTAGCGCGTTGTTTTATCCCATTTTTCGGATTTCAGAAAATCTTCGTGGTGTTTATCGATTGTCAGGGAAGGCAAATAACTATGAGGTCGTGAGCTCAGTTTTTTAGCAAGAAAATCAACGGCATTAGGGTTTACTTCACAATATGCAGCTTCAAGACGTCAGTGCCGACGTTATCGTTAGTTCTACTCTTATCGATGATATAGTGTTGAGTGTAACGGAGGACACACAGCATTTCATTCGACAGTACTGTTATTAGTTTGTTCCTTTTTCCTGTTCTGTATTCTAACTTTCATTCAGGTCTCTTTTAACCACATTTTGTGTTCTTCAGTCTTCCCTGTCTGAGTTTTTACTAATTAACTTTGGTTTAAGATTTGCCTTTCACTAATTAAGTTCATTGTTTTATATTACCAGACCAACGTCAATGAGGTGATATTTGAGTAGAGGCATGGTCACGGCGTGTTTGAGTGTGTGATTGATAATCTTTGATTATCTGCCCAGAAGGATTACCAGAATCCTTGCAGATAGATGTCTGACCCCATCCTGATGGGAATATTTTACTGAATTTTACGAATCGAACCATTATTTACCAGGAATTCCTTTTGCTGTTTTACGCGTTACTTCGTGAAAGAGAAACCTGCAGTATCATTTGCTATGTTAAGACAATATACCTCAATCTAGCTTCACGACAGTCCCATTTATATCTTCTTACTGGGTTACATTTTGACCTTGTTAACTATTCACTTACCAATATTGACTGTTTTTATATGAGCGTATGTGAGAACACTTATTATTCTATTCGTCACATGTCTGCAACGTATTTTTATCTGGTTATAAATATTGACTAACGCTTGATTAAATGGAATTGGTCAACACTGTGCGTTATTTCGTTTCGCCTTCTTCTATGTGCTTCATCCCTCTGATTGTCTGTCCAGATCAATGATCGTACAAAATATACGTATTAGAAATCCTTTCTCGTATTTGACTTATTTTAATCCCGTTATTCACTAACGTGAGATAAGTCGATAATTATATACGAGGATAGAAGAAATATATATTTCAATAGCAATCATTCAGTGGCTGCCAACACATGGTCTAACAGGAGTCAGATTCCGGGCCACTGAAAGACTATGACTGCATATCATAGCTGTACCGTTTGAGGTATTTTTTACTTACAATATAATGCGTTTTGTTTCGTAAATTAGAGCCGTATTAAATTAGACAGTTTTTATTTTCTGGTATACTTCATTTTGAGTCACTCAAAGACGTCTCGCATTCTATACAAGAGAACGTAGTTTGGCCCAATCGAATGAACTTTGATTCGTTAGTTCTACGTTTAAACCGCATATTAATATTTTGATCGTTGCTGTTCTTGAACGAGCAGTAATCGCCAAATGACAAACACTAAAATGCTTGGCAAACGCATCAAAGTCACCGTA